TACAGGCTAAGTAGATATTTATTTGCCATCACAAAAAGCTTTCTCCATATCTCAAAAGCTGAAGAATTCACTCTCTTATGAAGAAACCCATGTTTTATTACCTAGTTTTCTGAAACAGATAAAGAAGAATGAGGATAAAATGGAATTATCACACTCAAACTTCTGTAGAAAAAAATAACTTTACAACCATCTGCTTTACTTCATGTGTGATTTATTCTTAATTTTTTTCCATTTAATATATTGGAAGTCAAATTTAAGTATAGTAAGATACTTTTATTATAATATGATTTATGCTGATATGACCGCGCTCCTTAAAAGATTTTTTAAAAACAACCGAGAATCTATTTTTGCTTAAAGAAAATTATATCCTCTGTAAGGATGAATGGAAGATTTTGCTGTACTTATAGCATAGTTCTTGAAAATGATTTAATCCTATGGTAAACATTTTAGAAATATTTGTTAAATTCATTTGCATATAAACTAGATGTTTATACACACACACACACACACACACATACACACACACACACATATAAAGGACTAGTTTATTTTTAATTGTAGGTTGAAATAAAATCCATGGCTTCAGTTACCATGTAAATAAATGGCAATATGAAAAATACCTTTGTAAAATATAAAATAGCTTAGTCATAAATCCAATGACGATTGGCTTAAATATTAAATAATACAAAGATAAAAGTGATTGATGATTGATTATTGGTCTTTGAAGCGCAGTTTTAAATATTTTTTTATTAATTATCATTTTTTGAATTACATTTAAAATCTACAACATGTAATAATTAGAATATAAAATTTACACCAATTCTTCATTCTATAGGAAAAATATCATTTCCAACACCAATTTTACAATGTTATTTATATTGAGCATGAGATATATATTTTAATTCAACTGAATTGTTAACTATTTGCTATTTAATAATTTTCCCCATAATTACCTCTAAGTAGAATAATGTTTTAATAGCATAAGTAAATTAGGCATAGTTTATACTAAAAGTGTAATTCGATTTTTTTTTTAATTCATTGCCCTCTATTTTTTGAGTGCCATTTACAAAGATGTTGTCTTCCTGTATTTTTTTTAAATAAAACTATTTCAAAAATAAAGACAATAAAAAATTTGTTTTTAGAGATAAGAATTGCTGTCATGTTACCTTGAAAATCACAATAAATTTATAGTTCTTAAAAATCTCATGATAACATCTATCTCTGTGGCAAATCTGTTCTAATGTCAGGAAATGAGAGATGTCCGAAAGCCTTCGTGTATTAATGAGCACTAAAAGGCAACACAAAAGGTGTTTAGTTAGTACACCTTTGTTTTCCTCTTTTTGTTTGTTTTTCGCCTTAAAAAATTATGTTTGACATATGCTGGAAATGCATAATACAAAGTGAAATATTCAGTAAAAATTTTTAAATCCCTACCTAATATTGTTTATATTTAGTATAATAATCTATGTATATTTTTATTTTTATTTTTATTAAATGAACATTATAAGTTATGAGAGTAATACATATATACATAGATTTATGTCGATATTTATTCATAATAAATTCATTATTTGAAGTACTGCTATTTGCTCAGGATTTTATTAAAGTAAAACTAAATTTATTATCTAATGAGATTCCATATAAATACCTTGAGGAATTCAGTGTTTAATATGCTAATACTACTTAAGAAACATTTATTCTTAGTCATCTGTCATAAAACTGGTAGAGTTATTGCTAAACAGGGTATCGTGATGTTTTAAGTTTTAATCAAGGCATAAATAAATTGATCTTAGACATAAATGTAGGAATTCAGTTTTTCTGACTGAGGTTACCCGAGAGCATTTACTTTTGTCTCCAAAGACTGTGCTGCACTCTGGCAAGGAGGCTGAGTTTTGGTAGCAATGACCTGTAATAATCATTTCTGAAATCATTTGGAGTCTCCTTACATAAAAAACTTTTAAAAATGATGAAATAACAATTATTGTGTCAGTCTTAAATTATACATAGACATCCCACAGATTAAGCGTCTGCTGTTGGCATGGATTACATTATAAAAAATGTCCTGAGATATCATAAAACATTACTGTATAGTAATTCAATGATTCCAGAGAAACAGACTTCAGGAAAAAGTTAAACTACTTATATGTAATGTTTTCTAGATTTGAGGATTAGAGTTAGAATCATAAACTGAGAGGTCTATTTGATTTAATGAGTAATTATAAATAACTTACTAATTTTTATTTTTTATGTAATTTGCTCTTATAGTAAACTGAAAAGCATAATTTCTGATCCCTCTCTTCCAGGAATATTCAATGTATAAAATGGTGCTGAATACCTGAAGGCTATCTATTGTTTTAGTGCAACAAAGATTGATACCTAAGATTGATACCAAAGATTGAATTTCCAAATTCACTGGCCACATTCCAGTACCTCTTTTCTTAGAATATACTCCTTTTGAGCACTCCCCACTTGAAACTTTATCTTTCTTCGGATTCTGCTAATAATTTTTTTTTCGGATTCTGCTATCACATCTTACTGGCTAATATCAGTTCTCTCAACTGGATCAACTTTCATGACTCAACTACTTTTAAAATATAAGTTCTACTTTTTGTCTTTTTTCCTCCTCATTTATTACATCCTCCCTCAGTGATCCCTTGTCATTGACTATGTGTATATTTTTTCTTCTGAGTGGCTGACCTACATATAAGCATTAAAATGTACCATGGACATCTTAAACTTAACTTGTCAAAACTGAATTTCTTTTCTTTCCCTGACTCTCACTCAAATGTGCTTTCTTATGTCCTAAGATAACATAGTACTTGGCATATAGAAGTGGTTCTGATATTTTAGTGTGTGGAGAGCCTGTTAAAACACAGACTGCTAGCGTTTCTAATTCAGAGTTTCTAATTCAGTAGGTCTGGGGTGGAGACTACAAATGTGCATTTCTAACAGGTCCCCAGGTGATATTGATATTTGGCAACTCCGCCATATTGACACAGAGCAATCAAGATTTGTTTGATCAATAATTACTATGAGTCAATGAATGGTTTAGAGGCATATTATAGGCTCAAAAAACAAGCTTAACACAGTATGAATAAATGACAAGAGATATTTATAGAACTTTTGTCTGAAAGAACAAGGAAGATCATTTGGTTTAACATCCTCGTTAATTTAGTAATCTGAAGTCTAAAAAGATTAAATGATTTTTGTAAGGAAAAAGAAATAGATTCAACCAACCCTGACTTTCCATAAAAATAAGATAGCTGCATGTGTAACATTTATTTAGCTAATTAAAGATTAGTTTTCCAATTTCAAAGACAGACATAGAGCAGATTATTGTTTTCTCTAAATGAGTAGACATTTGCTCATAGGCACAGATTTTCCCCAAAATGAATAAAATACTGACAAATTTTAACGCTGCTTCCATAACCCTAAAATGCACACAAAGAATTGAGAAATCTAGAACTTAATATTCTGGTTAAGATTAAAGATCTCACCACTCAAAGCAGTGTTCGGGCAAGCAGTTTGTTGACAAAAATTAGTAGAGATGATTTGACACAGACTAGTACTGAAGAAATGAATCTTTTATTTGGCCAGAACGGAAAGGACTTTCATCAATGCAGTAAGTGTCCAAACTGTAGAGGTTCTGTTGTCTGAGCTGTTTTATTATCTTCCCAAGTTTGGATATTTGACAGGACTCACTGGACTCCACAGACTATACTCATATTAGACTTTTGTTTAAAGGCAAAGGACACTGTGCAGCAGAGAAAAAGAACACAGACAAGCATCAGAGGCTCAAGGGTCTTTCCCCAGCATGAGCTCCCTGTGGGTTCAATCTTTTGGGGCACCTGGAGTTGGCTGTGTCTCTGGCTCTTATTCCAGTTTTATTACCTGCTATATTATTTGTACTCAATTTTATCATCTGTACAATAAAACTAACTTTGGAGGCTTTAACTAATTTTTTCATTGTTGTCTCGTGACCACCTGCATTTGAGATGTTGAGGTAATTTCTCAGACTTAAATGTGTATGAGTCATCTAGGGATCTTTTTAAGATGCAAGTTCTGATTTCACAGGTCTGAGATGAAGCCCGAAATTCTCATCTAATAAGCTCCCAGGTAACATCCATGCTCCTATGTTCTTGTTCGGCTAGCAAACCAACTCATTTGGAAAAAAAAAAAAAGAAAGAAAGAAAGTATATATGTATGTGTATAAGAGTGTATATGTCAATGTACAAAGGCAGCTACATCAAGGAAATCGATCTCTGGAGTTAAGGCTGAAAATCTGCATTGCCAAAAGGCAAGTCCACCCCAAGTTTTATAAACAATCAAGTTTAAGAATTACTTGGTTGAATGAACTTAAATGTTTAAGTTAACCCAGCTGTAAAATTATGTAGATCTAATCTTACCCTGATGTTCTCTTAAATCTTCAATTGAAGGAGGCTTAATTATGACATATTCTCTTACTTCACAGGAATCTGTGTTTCTTGAGTGTCTATGACTTGCAAATAATTGCCAAGCTCTTTGCCTCTGCATTCAAAATTTAATTAGGTCTGATCTTTTGCTGTAAGATAAAACCTTTTGTACTATCCAAAATTACAACATTCTTTCTTCAGATGAAGAGCCAAAGAGCAACTTCACACTTCTTTTAGAACTCAGCTAAAAATAAAATCCAAAAAAATAGCATCACTTTATTTTTCTTGCCGTATCACTGGCTTTCTGAGGCTACACTCTTAAATTCACTCTGAACTCCTTTTGTGCTTCCTCTCCATAACATTCCAATTTGTTACAGGAAATATTTACCTAAATAATTGCCTTCTACAGTATGTGATGCAGATTAGGTACATTACTACCTAGTAAGTCCATTAGTTTCTTCCCCTTAAAGAATTTCTTCTCTTTGTTATCGTTATTCAGGTTATTGAGTGTAGCACAGAAAAGTAACATGGTGATTTTTCATACAGGCTCATGATGTTTTTTAATTTCCTATTTTCTTTTTCTTACAGTATAAGCAAGTGGAGCAATACATGTCATTCCATAAGTTACCAGCTGATATGCGTCAGAAGATACATGATTACTATGAACACAGATACCAAGGCAAAATCTTTGATGAGGAAAATATTCTCAACGAACTTAATGATCCTCTGAGAGAGGTAAGATTTATAGTCCTAGATCTTCTTGGTACATGGTCACTATTTATTTTCTCTTTTGATGGGAAATTCTCAAGCCCATATTATAACATCACTCAAAAGAAAAATCAGAATTAAATGCTAAGACATCTTGTTTGCCCTTATTCTTTCGTATGTTTTCCCATATACAGGCTTTTAATTCTTTTAAAAAGTACTAGAAAATTGTTATTCTAATTATGATTCTCATAACTGTTTTATTTTCAGTGTAACTAGCTATCAGAATTCTTTCTTGTGTCCTCATTGTCTATATCTTCCCAATCTTCCACTCTTCAACTTATTCTTACCTATTTCTTTATCTTCTTTTTGATTTCTATTTTCTTCCCATGTTCATTTTCCCTGTTCATCCCCTGGACTCTGATCAGAAACTAACATGACCTGCTGCAAGTAATTCATTTCTTATTAGCTCATTAAAACACTTTTAGGACTAATAATGACTTTCTTAAACAGCTTTTAGGACTAATAATGACTTTATTACATAGCATATATATAAAGTCATTATTAGTCTTTAAAGATAATGACTTTATTACATAGCATATATATATGATAATGACTTTATTACATAGCATATATATATAGCATATAAAGATAATGACTTTATTTTATAGCATATATATATGCTATGTAGTATATGCTATGTATATATGCTATGTAATAAAGTCATTATCTTCCATCACTAAATCATTTATCTTTAAAGTCTCTTTGAAAGAGCTTTAGTTATTTTCTCAAGTCATTTAGACTATAAAACTTAGGTTCTTTTTTGAATCTTTCTCTGCTTTTCACATCCAATCAATCACCAAATGCTATCAATTAATCATGCTAATATATCTTATGCCCATGCCCTTGATTCCTTCTCCAATACCATCACCCTAACCATATTTCTCTAACAGGAACTAGCTGCACCATACTCATAGTTGCCTTCCAGCCTTTGGTCTCTTTTCTTTACCTTTTAAAATTTCATCAATATCAGAGTAATCTTTTTTTAATGGATACAAGCTGGTCATTACTCTGCTCTGAAACTTTCAGTCTTTACATTACAAATTAAATCAAATAAAGCCACCTTAGGCTTATATTCTAGCCTTTCTGTGCTCTGACCCCAACTAAATCTCCAGCTTTCCTTTTCCTTCCTGCCATCCATGTTCCAAAGTAGCCTACAGCCAAACTATGCAGCTTGCTGTTTTGCAAAAATCAATTATAATTTTTCACCCTTGCATTACTTTTTCCAGAAACGTCTCTCATCTTTTAGCAAAATCTAGTTCAAATAATAGTTCTTTATTTTTACCTTCTTTGATTTCCCAGACTAGATAGATCTGATCACTCTTTTCTCTGACCCTGCAGTGTACTGAGTCAGTAAATTTTCTGTGTTATTTATTCATTCTGTCTGTTACCACTATTTTTTTCACAGTTGATTTCTCCACTTTTGTCTTGAAAGTTCCTTAAAAGCAAATGCTATTTAGTCTGTATTTTAAATTTTTCTTGAAATTCCTACTACATCTAGCGTATATTAAATTCTCAATATTTTTATTACAACTAATATTCTCACTAATTTTAACCATCTTACACATTTCTGCATCAACTAAAAGTTATTTGTATTTTTTAGTTTGCTTTTTTTTGAAAATCCTTAAGATATCAGTTGAGTTCTAGCAATAAAAGGAGCCGTGTCTGCTATGCTGATTAGC